AGAAATAATTCCGTTAACCCAGCAATACACACAAACAGCGTGGCTCAGGATGGAGCCTGGAGATTACCCCCAAAGCAATTGGCCAGGAGCACCAGCGGGGGACCCGATAAGCGGAGAATGGGAGCTGTTCTGTGCAAATCTATTGCAAAGGGCAGGTAAGTATGACATGTTTGTTATTTTAAAAAATAGGTTTACAATCAATCACTTTAAATATACAAGTTTTCAGTGTTTATCCTAGAGATATTTGATTTCATCTATTAGATTTCAAGAGGCTATAAAAAAAGGCCAACATTTTATATAATACAGCTAACTGGTCTGCTGTAAATGTAGAAAATTATGTTCCCTTATGGCATGTATGGTTAACACCGTTTATGTCCAAAACTGAATACCAGCAAAATGTACCTCACAAGGTACAATAAATTCCAACTTAAAATGTACTTGGATTAGAAATGCATTTTCAGTTTCCAAGAACCAATCTGTAAACGGCTATGCAAGTACTTGGCACCTCACAAAAAATAAAGTTCACACACACCCCAACAGTATGCAAAATTTACTGCTGATTTTTGTTTAGACTTCAGATAGAGATTTCCTTCCTTCAGCTACAGAGATGGGCAAATGGATCAGGGACCTGTCCTATCTATGGCTGGGCTTTGTTTACATAATGAACATATTGGAGTAGTTTAACCACTTGCCCTCCAGAGGATTTACCCCCCTTCCTGACCAGGCCATTTTTTGCAGTACGGGGCTGCGTTATTTTAACTGACAATTGCGTGGTCATGCAACGCTGCACCCAAATGAAATTTATGTCCTTTTTTTCCCCACAAATAGAGCTTTCTTTCGGTGGTATTTGATTGCCTGTGCAGTTTTTATTTTTTGTGCTATAAACAAAAAAAGGCAGACAGTTTTGAGGAAAAAAACAACAATATTTTTGCCTTTTTGCTATTAAACATGTCTAGATAAAAAAAAAAAATTTTAAAAAAAAATTCAAATTTAGACCAAACTGTATCCTGCTACATGTCTTTGCTGAAGAAAAAAAAAAAAAAAATCCCAATACGTGTAAATTAACTTGTTTACGTGAAAGTTATAGCGTTTACAAAATGGCTATATATATATATATATATATATATATATATATATAATACATATACACACACACACATATATACACACACACACACAGGATTTTTTTTCTCTTTTTTAACTAGTAATGGCGGCGATCAGCGACTTATAGCAGGACTGCGGCGGGCATTCTGACTTGGTGTCACTGATATTCCCAGTGACACCAATACAGTGATCAGTGCTAATAGAAAGCACTGACACTGTACTAATGGCACTGGGCAGGAAGGGGTTAACATCTGGGGCAAAGGGTTAACTGTGTGCTTTTTTTACATTATGTGCTGTGTGTGTTTCACTGTAAGCACACTGCTTTGTTTGGCTCTACTAGGCAGGTCTCTCCTCCATTTGTAATACTCGGCGATCACCAGGTGCGACCCGGTGATTGACAGCCAAGGCCACGAATGGTGGCGCAGGTAGGGTGCACCCCCTACCTGGAAATGCAAAATCATGTATATATACACACATGTGATTTTTGCGCACCCCTGCACCCCTGTAGCAGTATTTCTGCTATAGGGCAGAGGGGAAGCGGTTAAAGACGTGAAGCTGGTTTGGTATGGACAGAGAAATGCAGCAAATTCATTTTTCACATAAACATTTGTCACAAGCAGAACTACTGTTTTTTTTTTTTTTACAAGGTTATGTGTTAGACTTTCCCTCTATATACACATATGGAATCATGCCGTTAGAATTAAATGAGACAATGAAAAGCAAACCAATTACTTTTCATGCTTCTATCTAAAACATAAAGGACTTTCTGTTGTCAGTGCTATTCAGCCCCCTCTGCAAATGTGGAGCGGCTATGCTGTGCTTTTTGGGAATGAAGGGAATCCTAGCTGTGCACTGTATGTGTGTTCCCTGCTTCTCTTGAATACTGCCGCGTACCTGATGGCTCGTACTGTACATAATACACTTCTTTTCATCCAACATTTAGCAAAACTCAACAAAAGCACTGAATGCAGAATGATGCATAACAGGTATTAAAATGCAAAACAACGTCTTGGCACTTAAAATGTTCTTTCAAACATCCTTTCTTTTTTAGCTTTTTTTAACCAAAAACAAATGCATACGAAGACACACACACAGTGAGTAGCCAAAGCCAACCAAGAAGTACTGGGTGGGGGGCTCTCCTGAACAGGTAGGGGAAGAAGGAACCTAAGAGCCTCACATCCTTTCCCTAGACTTTAATGTGGGCATGAAGACCAACCCCCTACAATCTAGAGTGAAAAGTGAGACACAAAAAAAGCTCAGTAACATACAAAGTGAGAGAAAGTAAATAAAAGTGCCAACGTTCAAGACAGTGGCTAGGCCATGAGAGCTTTTTGAAAAAAAGGTTGCCTCAGTCTTGGCCAAAAGGCCTAGCCCATGAGGCGTAGGGCAAAAAAAAAACCAAACACACACACACACACACACACACACAAGGTGCTGTGGTTTAGTGCAGTTTCACACAGTGGGGGCCCAAACCCGTAGTACTATTCCAGCAACCCCCGGACACAGTTGACACCATGGGTTCTCTAACGTCACAGCTCTCAGCCAGACAAAAGTAGTACAGATCACATCAGGAGGCACTGGGCCCCTTGGAACCCCCCACACTAGGGAAGTACTACTGACCCACACTTTAGCTAGCGGGTGTTTGATTCGGATTCCTTTCTCCAAGAAGATTGTCCCTCCGGACTCCCATCAAACCAGCAGGGATACTATACAGCCAAAAAAAAACAGAATAATGGTGGAGCACCCCGACTGATGCTACACTTGATTTTAGCCAAAATATCAAGATGCAAAAAGTTTTTAAACATTTCTTTACTTAAAGACAATAAGAAGCCAAAGTGGCACCTCCTTCCTAAACCCTTACCCTGTAAAACAACCCATTCAGTTTAAACTAGCAATGAAAGGCAAAACATTTGTGTATAAATATTAAAAAAAACAAAAAAAAAAAAAAAACTTTTATTTCCCCTTTTTAAGTGACCTCACTCCCTCTGTTCTCAGCTGGGTAGAGAACTGGGCGAGGAGAAAAAGCAGCACAATGATCATCCCATTGAATGGCTGTGTAGGGGGAGGGGTGCCAGGCCAAGTCTAATCATTGGAGGAGAGCACACTGACACCGAGTTTCCCCAGCACAGCTAGAGATCTGACCAAAGTGTGTTCTGTTGCCTAGTGTGGTCAGTTTTTAATAGGAAATCAGAGGGACTGGCAGGAACACTAGGGATTTCACACAAATGAAGCAATACAAAGAAAACAGGTTACCTTTTCATACAAGTACATGGTACAGCAGGCACATATCAGAAATATGAAATGCTGGGTTTACACATGCTTTAAAGTGTTATATGCAGTAAAGCATGCTTGTTATGCACACTGTGGAACCAAAGGGGTTAATCCACTGCATTGTGTAAAAAGGCCATTTGATCCTGTTTTCTCTGCCCCTCCTCTTGTTCAAATGTCCACCTGATAAGACAGCCTTTCCATTGCTCTACCCACTGTCCCGAACTGAAGAATTATTCTTTCATTTTGGGATATGTGATGGAATGAGACATGTGAATACCTCCTGTTCTAAGAAGGCTTTGCTGTGCTATGCTAGACTTGCTAAGAGAAACACAGAAAAGAAGTATTGTGCAGGCTACACTGGTCTCATACATACAACATGTATCTTTCATTCAGATCAACCACATGTCTGGCTTGTGTTAAATGAATTGCAGAGAGCAGCCTCTCCTCTCCTATGAAGGGAAATATTTCTAATGTAATAAATCATAGAGAAATATGCATGTAAAACAATCTCATGAAAGGCCAGTCTGCTTTGTTTGTACAGCATGAGTGAAAGCATTTCTGTGAATATCTATGGGTCAGTAACCCCTGCACGTGCCCTGTGTGGACAAAGCAGCTCAATATACACGGAAAAAAATACACACGGAAGGATAACTAAGCCAACATCTGCTGCTATGCTGTGCACTTATTGTCACTGAGGGTGTAGTCCTCTCTCATGAAGTATAAACACCTTGTACAGTCTTATTAGGACATTACAATGAATTCTGCCATTATTACTGTACACACTATATTCCCAAAAGTATTGAACAACTGCCTTTACACACAAGAACTTTAATGGCATCCCAGTCTTAGTCCATAGTATTCAATATTGAGTTGGCCCACCCTTTGCCACTATAACAGCTTCAACTCTTCTGGGAAGGCTGTCCACAAGGTTTAGGAGTGTGTCTATGGGAATGTTTGACCATTCTTCCAGAAGCACATTTGTGAGGTCAGGTACTGATGTCTGACAAGATCTGGCTCACAATCTGTGCTCTAATTCATCCCAAAGTATTGGGTTGAGGTCAGGACTCTGTGCAGGCCAGTCAAGTTCCTCCACCCCAAACTCCTCATCCATGTCTTTATGGACCTTGCTTTGTGTACTGGTGTGTAGTCACATTGGAACAGGAAGGAGCCATCCCCAAAAAAACTGTTCCTACAAAGTTGGCAGCATGAAATTGTCCAAAATGTCTTGGTATGCTGACGCCTTAAGAGTTCCTTTCACTGGAACTAAGGGGCCAAGCCCAACCCCTGAAAAATGGGCACAATAATCCCCCCTCCACCAAATTTTACACTTGGCACAATGCAGTCAGGTAAGTACCGTTCTCCTGGCAACCGCCAAACTCAACATGTCCATCGGATTGCCAGACAGAGAAGTGTGATTGGTCACTCCAGAGAACACATCTCCACTGCTCTAGAGTCCAGTTGCGGCATGCTTTACACCACTGCATCTGATGCTTTGTATTGCACTTGGTGATGTAAGGCTTAGATGCAGCTGCTCAGCCATGGAAACCCATTCCATGAAGCTCTCTATGCACTGTTGTGCCAATCTAAGGGGCACACGAAGTTTGAAGGTCTTTAGCTATTGACTCTGCAGACAGTTTGCGCACTGTTCACTTCAGCATGCGCTGACCCCGTTCTGTCATTTTACGTGGCCTACCACTTCGTGGCTGAGTTGCTGTTGTTCTCAGTTGCTTCCACTTTGTTATAATACCACTAACAGTTGACCGTGGAATATTTAGTATCTAGGAAATGTCACAGATGGACTTATTGCACAGTGGCAAACCTAACCTATCACGGTATTTGAGAGCAAACCATTCTTTCTCAAACGTAGAAGCAGTCTGCATGCCTAGGTGCTTGATTTTATACACCTGTGGCCATGGAGGTGATTGGAACACCTGAACCCAATGATTTGGAGGGGTGTCCCAATACTTCTGGCAATATAGTGTATGTGAGGATCTAACAATGAAACAAGTGGTAATCACATTTTAGTTAACTAAAGTCAGATATGTGAATGATGAACATAGGGCTACATACAGGCTGGTATCTAGGGGGATGCTGGGGTGGGCTTTGCTCCCTCAGAATTTATTTGTGCCCACCCCCCATAGTTCTCTGAAATGTAGTCACTGATCCCTGGGCTAGTCTGATGGGGATATTTGATGAAGGGGGATTGAAGGGGATGTAAAAAGGGAAACTCTGATGGGGACATCTGATGTAGGGGGGGTACACTCAGGGGGACATTTGATGTATAGGGGGGACTCTGATGGGGACATTTGATGTGAGGGAAATTCTGATGGGAACAATGTATGGTGGCAAGCCTGGAAGGCAGCTGATGTAAGGGGGCACTCTGGTGGGGGAATTTGATATAAGGAGCACTCTGATACAGTTGATATAAGGGGGCACAATGTTAGGGGTGTCTGATGCAAGGTGGGACTCTGATGAGGAAAATTGATGTAGGGAGCACTCTGAGGGGGACATTTGATGTAAAAGTGAAGCTTTGATGGGGGCAGTTGATGTAAGGGGAACTCTGAGGGTGAAAATGGATGCAAGTGAAACTCTGATGCAGACAATGGGTGTAGGGGAGCACTCTGATGAGGACAACTAATGTAAGGGGGCACTATGAGAATAACTCACATAAAGGGGATTCTGATGAGGATTTACAGTGCCTTGAAAAAGTATTCATATCCCATAAAATTTTCCACATTTTGTCATGTTACAACCAAAAACGTAAATGTATTTTTTGGGATTTTATGTAATAGACCAAAACAAAATGGCACATAACAGTGAAGTGGAAGGAAAATGACAAATGGTTTTCAAATTTTTTTACAAATAAATATCTGAAAAGTGTGGGGTGCATTTGTATTCAGCCCCCCGGAGTCAATACTTTGTAGAACCATCTTTTGCTGCAATTACAGCTGTAAGTCTTTTTGGGGATGTCTCTACAACCTTTGCACATCTAGGAGAGCAAAATGTCTATCCATTCTTCTTTGCAAAATAGCTCAAATTCTGTCAGATTGGATGGAGAGTGTCTGTGAACAGCAATTTTCAAGTCTTGCCACAGATTCTCTAACACATGAATATTCTTTGATCTAAACCAGCGGTTCTCAACCTGGGGGTCGAACGACCATTTCCCAGGGGTCGCCTAAGACCATCGGAAAACACATATTTCCGATGGTCTTAGGGAACTGAGACACCGCTGCTGTGTCCGGCGATGTGTGTGGGCGGGATGATATGCTGCCCCTCGCCGCTGATTGGCCACCGGAACTGTAGCTCAGGAGAGGCACACAGGCGGCCAATCACCGGCGAGAAGGTGGAGCTTGGAGAGAAGGAGCCGAGCGGCAGCGCGCGGAGATCGAAGAAAATCGAGGGAAGCTGCAGGAACGAGTGAAGAGAGAGGCCAGAGAAGGAAGACAGCTCAGGTAAGTGCAAATTTTGCACAGCAAGGTAAGTATCATTGGTGTCAGTGGAAGGGATAGTGCCCCATCATTTGTGTCACTAATACCAACGATGGGGCACTATTTCCTCCCCCCACTGACACCAACGATGGGGCACTATTCCTCCCCTCACTGACACCAACGATGGGGCACTATTCCTCCCCTCACTGACACCAACGATGGGGCACTATTCCTCCCCTCACTGACGCCAACGATGGGGCACTATTCCTCCCCTCACTGACGCCAACGATGGGGCACTATTCCTCCCCTCACTGACGCCAACGAGGGGGCACTATTCCTCCCCCCACTGACGCCAACGATGGGGCACTATTCCTCCCCTCACTGACGCCAACGATGGGGCACTATTCCTCCCCCCACTGACGCCAACGATGGGGCACTATTCCTCCCCCCACTGACGCCAACGATGGGGCACTATTCCTCCCCCCACTGACGCCAACGATGGGGCACTATTCCTCCCCCCACTGACGCCAACGATGGGGCACTATTCCTCCCCCCACTGACGCCAACGATGGGGCACTATTCCTCCCCCCACTGACGCCAACGATGGGGCACTATTCCTCCCCCCACTGACGCCAACGATGGGGCACTATTCCTCCCCCCACTGACGCCAACGATGGGGCACTATTCCTCCCCCCACTGACGCCAACGATGGGGCACTATTCCTCCCCCACTGACGCCAACGATGGGGCACTATTCCTCCCCCACTGACGCCAACGATGGGGCACTATTCCTCCCCCCACTGACGCCAACGATGGGGCACTATTCCTCCCCCCACTGACACCAACGATGGGGCACTATTCCTCCCCCCACTGACACCAACGATGGGGGCACTATTCCTCCCCCACTGATGGGGCACTATTCCTCCCCCCCACTGACACCAACGATGGGGCACTATTCCTCCCCCCACTGACACCAACGATGGGGCACTATTCCTCCCCCACTGACACCAACGAACTATTCCTCCCCCCACTGACACCAACGATGGGGCACTATTCCTCCCCCCCACTGACACCAACGATGGGGCACTATTCCTCCCCCCACTGACACCAACGATGGGGCACTATTCCTCCCCCACTGACACCAACGATGGGGCACTATTCCTCCCCCCACTGACACCAACGATGGGGCACTATTCCTCCCCCCACTGACACCAACGATGGGGCACTATTCCTCCCCCCACTGACACCAATGATGGGGCACTATTCCTCCCACTGACACCAATGATGGGGCACTATTCCTCCCACTCATACCAATGATGGGGCACTATTCCTCCCACTCATAAATGATGGGGCACTATTCCTCCCACTCATACCAATGATGGGGCACTATTCCTCCCACTCATACCAATGATGGGGCACTATTCCTTCCACTGAAACCAATGATGGGGCACTATTCCTCCCACTGATACTAATGATGGGGCACTATTCCTCCCACTGACACCAATGGATGGGGCACTATTCCTCCCACTCATACCAATGATGGGGCACTATTCCCCCACTGACCAATGATGGGGCACTATTCCTCCCACTGACACCAATGATGGGACATATTCCTCCCACTGACACCAATTTTGGGACACTATTCCTCCCACTGACACCAATGATGGGACACTATTCCTCCCACTGACACCAATGATGGGACACTATTCTCCCACTGACGCCAATGATGGGGCACTATTCCTCCCACTGACGCCAATGATGGGGCACTATTCCTCCCACTGACGCCAATGATGGGACACTATTCCTCCCACTGACGCCAATGATGGGACACTATTCCTCCCACTGACACCAATGATGGGACACTATTCCTCCACTGACACCAATGATGGGACACTATTCCTCTCACTGATACCAATGATGGGGCACTATTCCTCCCACTCATACCAATGATGGGGCACTATTCCTCCCACTCATACCAATGATGGGGTACTTTTCCTCCCACTCATACCAATGATGGGGCACTATTCCTTGATACCAATGATGGGGCATTATTCCCCCCACTGACACCAATGATGGGGCACTATTCCCCCACTGACGCCAATGATGGGGCACTATTCCTCCCACTGACGCCAATGATGGGGCACTATTCCTCCCACTGACGCCAATGATGAGGCACTATTCCTCCCACGGACGCCAATGATGAGGCACTATTCCTCCCAGTGACGCCAATGATTGGCACTATTCCTCCCACTGACGCCAATGATTGGGCACTATTCCTCCCACTGACACCAATGATGGGGCACTATTCCTCCCACTGACACCAATGATGGGGCACTATTCCTCCCACTGACACCAATGATGGGGCACTATTCCTCCCACTGACACCAATGATGGGGCACTATTCCTCCCACTGACACCAACGATGGGGCACTATTCCTCCCACTGACACCAACGATGGGGCACTATTCCTCCCACTGACACCAACGATGGGACACTATTCATCCCACTGATACCAACGATGGGACACTATTCATCCCACTGACATCAGTGATGGGGCGCTAGTCCTCCCACTGCAAAATTACAGTTATGAAGTAGCAACGAAAATCATTTTATGGTTGGGGGTCACCACAACATGAGGAACTGTATTAAGGGGTCGCGGCATTAGAAAGGTTGAGAACCACTGATCTAAACCATTCCATTGTAGCTCTGGCTGTATGTTTAGGGTAGCTGTCCTGCTGGAAGGTTAACCTCTGCCCCAGTCTCAAGTCTTTTGCAGACTCTAACAGATTTTCTTCTAAGATTGCCCTGTACAATAACTTTTTGGTATAGGTAGATTTTCAATTTTCTCACTGATTAAGGCCTCATTCACACCAACAATGTCAAACCTGCATTTACAGGAAATTTCTAAATGCAAATGAATGTAATGACTTTTAATAGTGTCATTCACACTGTGTGTTCAGGTATAGTCAGTTTATCTGCATTTAGAAAAAAACAGAATTCTGTTCATTCAGGATCCGATTAGACAACACAGGTTAATTACAGTAAAGGCAACTAAACACATCAAAACGTGGCTAAAGCAGGAACGTCTGAATGCAGACAAAAGTTGTGATGAAGGTAGGAGAGTTGTGTATACTGTTTGCATCACTTCTCTTGTGCTTAGAAAAGCAAACTACATGGAGGCTGGGGTGAATGAGGCCCAAATCTTATAACATTTTCTAAGAATGGGGAAAAAACTGATAATTTTTACATGTCCCAAGCTACTAGCTGAACAGTATTAAATACAATGGTGTAGGAGACTTTATTTTCAGCTAGCAAAGTAAATGTTAGTGAAAAAAGGTAATACATAGATGACATACTGTATATACATCCCATCTAGAATTGTACATATCATAAAATATATTTCTTCAGGACAGATGGATTTGTGTTTACTTTGTATATCCAATCCGTGGATAAGAGAATTAAAAAAGGAAAAATTAATTTTGCTAGTATATAACAGATGTTTAAAGTGAGCACAGCCTGACCTAAT